GAGCTGGATTCTTTTCCACTGGGGCTTCTTCCCCGTGGCAGGGAACACAGCCCCTGAAATTTCCAGAGCCTCTCTCCTCCCCTTGCTTGCAGTATTCACTGCCGGAACAAAGCCTTGTTCTCTCTTTGATTTTAATTTAAAAAATCCCAAGAAAGGACATAATTGGCTCAGCTTGGGTCAGGTGTGGGTAGGACCTGTAATAAAATGAAAGTTTCCATTTTGACAATGAGGAGCAAGAACATCTTAAAGAACTGGTGGGCGCAGGGAGGATGGTCGCTGTTCTAGACAAGACAAAAACAGTAGATACCCAAATAGGGAGTGATGCCATTTGCATTCAAGGGAGATGAGGGGAATTTGGGGAACTCAAGGTGGAGCCATCAAGACGCATAGGAACATACACTGTTAAACACTTAGGGCAGAGAGCACTGATTGCATTTTCTTCAAGGGGTGGGGGACAAGGTCCACAGTGCTGTAAGCCCTGCAAAGACTGACCTGCTCTGGGGAGGCTGTAACACCTGGCTAAGGAGAGCAAGGCTAGAGCTAAACAGCAGGGAACCCGTAAGGCCAGTAGGAAGACAGGGAGAAGAGGGACCAAGCAGAGGCTGAGCAGAACCTGCAGGACAGCCTACCGTGAACTTCCTATGCCAGCAGCAGTGTCCTCCCTCTTGCCCCAGGGGGGCCAACTCCATTTTCCCACATCTTGTGGTTATTTTTATGGATAGATTTATTTTTACTGGTTCTAGACCTCAAACCTGCTGCTGGAGGAAACAAGGCACCCAGGCTTCTGGGTTTCCAGAAAACAGGCTGCCACAGTGGTCAGCTCAGCTGCAGAGATCGGGCTACCATCCCCCTGAAGTCACACTGACCGCCTCCTGTCTGCAGGGGTCATGGAAATGAAGTATAAGGGGGATTCCTCTTTTCTCATCCCACAACCACTCAGCCAGTCAAGGGGGAGCACTGCTCTGAGAGAAGGAGGATCTACAGCCACCATGGAAGTCACAATCCTGCCTGCCCATGCATCCCAGCCAGCCAGAGGTGGGACAGCCATCAGAGGCTCTTTTGACAGGACCTCTCCTGCACAGCCCGTCTCCCTGGAATCCAGGGAGTTTTAAATGAAGATCTTACCTTTCAAACAATAATCAGCTGTGAAGGGGCATCATTTCCCAGCCCCCACAGGCCAGCCAGCCAAAGCAGATTTCTTCCTTAATGGGACCATACATCTGGTCTAAATTGTAATTCCCCCAAGACAAGTTTACTGAACAGTTAGGCAATGCTTCCACACAGAGCCACTGCAGATGAGCTTAAAATATACTTTAATACATTTAAAGAACCATTTCAGAGACTGGCTTGCTCATGATAAAGATGCAACTGACACTCATTGGGCACTAAAATGTCAAGTTGTTCCCATCCAGCAAGGAGCCTGACAAGCCATTAAATCTGAAGCTCTGTTCTGTTGATTCCTTTCCTTTCCTTTCCTTTCCCCAACAGTTGATGTAGGCTCCTGAATCTCACATTTTGCTAGGACCTACCAAAATCTAACAAGGTACCGTTTCTATCCCTGAAATGCCCTGAGGAGGTGGAAAGGACCAGAGGAGTTGGGAGAGGGGTAGGGAGCAAATGAGAACTAAGGTCACTTTTGGTGTCCTTTAAGTGCCTAGAGGGTGAGAATTTCAATTCCTAGGAAGAAAGAAATAGGAAATAATCCATGGATAGTTTTCCACAGAGGGTGACCCTAAAATCTCCCCCCACCCCTGCAGCCCTCCCTAGCTAGGCTGGGCTGGAGAGGAGAGGCACAAACGCAGGCAGGGGCTTACTTGGGATTGGGTTCCCAGGACAGATGGCAGCAGGCAACCTACAGGACCACAGTCAGGAGGTCAGCCAAAACACTCTAGAAAAGTTCCTTTACTCTTGTCTAACTTTCCCTAGCTCAGAAATAGGATGTGGATGAGTTATTGAGAAATAGTAAGATAGGAAAATAAAGAGAGGAAAGAAAGGACCTCAACATTAGGAAATTGGGAAGGGTGTTCATGGATGGAGGGAAACCACATCCCTGGGTCTTATTCTCAACTCTGTTTCTCCATGTGCACATGGGCCTGTGTCTTGGGACAGGGAGGGCCACAGAGGAGGACAGGTGTGGGGTGAGGTGTTGGGTTAGGATGGTAGGATCGAAGAGGCCTTTTCCCAAACCCCTGTGAAGAAGGATGGAAGTAGTGGCCGGCACCTTCCTCGCAGCACAGCTTACAGCCGTAACCTGTGAGATGTATGTCAACCTGCCTTCCATAAGCATATGAAAATGAAGGAGTGTGTTTTGTTGAGGTAGGTGTGGGAATGTATCAGTCAATGAAGATACGTCAGCGTGTGAACCAGCTGACAGCGCCTGTTTGTACTTGAAAGCCATAAAGTTCTATGCAAAATCTATGGGTGGCACTGTTGCACAATGCTGGTGGGTATGTGGGTACGGGGGTGTGATTAATAGTTTACAGGCTGTGTACAAGTGTGCCTGCATGTCCAAGCGAGTGCACATTAAGATGGAAACGTGTGCCGGAGTATGATACAAGTACAAGAAAGCGCATGGGCAGTCAGTCCGATTTGGCCTTGAATCCTGGCTCTGTCATGAACCAGATGTGGAACCGTGGGCTAGTCATTCAATCCTCAACTTCCTCAGCCGTGAAATGAGGATGATAATAAGTACCTTTCAAGACTGCCATGAGGATTAGACATGATATATGCAAAGCTGTTGGTGCCATAACCCACACATACTAGGACCCCAAAGTAGGCAGCTGTTCTTATGCGCTGCGCTGTGCCTCTGGCGGGTACAGCGCAAGAGGCAGCAACGTGGGAGCTGAGTGCGAAATGTGGGTGAGGAAGAGTGGGTGCCTGGGGGGGAATACACAAGTCATTTCTTCCCCTTCTCCCAGCCCCCTATTCAGACAGCGGTAGGAAGGTGGGAGGGGACGATACAAATGCCCACAGACACTTGGGTTTCTCTGTTTCTGGGTCCTGGGTCTAAGTGAGTAAGAGGTGGCCAGGCCTGTTAGGAGATGCAGGAAGCCAACCGCCTGCAGAAGCTTCCTTTTTTCCCCTCCACCCAGCAACGGTTGAATACCGCCACCCACAGCCACTCCCCACCCCCCTCAGCTTTCTGTTCAGCGACTGAGAGCAGGGCGGGGAGGAAAGACGAGAGGAAAGCGGGAGGAGAGAGGATTCCTCGCTTTCCTTCCCCCATTCCCCCTTAAGACGAACCAGGAAGCCGGGCAGCTGCGAGCCGGGCCACCTTAACAGTAGAGTAATGGTCTGGCCCCGCGCCAAGTCCCACCCCGGTTCCAGCGCCCGCTCCTCCCCTTTCCCCTCCCGCGCGGCTCGGGGAGAGCTGGTGAGCAAGAGTCTGGCCCGAGTTGGCTGGAGCTGTTGCCATGACAAGCATTTTCTCAAGAAAGCTCTGCTGTTGAGACCGTTCAAAGCTGGGGGCTGGGGGGGAGGCACGAACTTCCTGGGAAACCATCCCTCCGAAGAGAGCAAGATCAGAGACTCCCGCCCAGCTCCCCTGCACCCTCTTCTTCCAGGATCCTGAGAGGTCCTTCCCACTGGAAGGACTGGGGGAGGAGACCCAGCCCACTCCCCGGCCGTAGCTGCAAAGGCAAGAGAGCGAAGCCGGCATCTCTAGCTTGGTTGCCACACTGGGGAGACCGGTGGGTGGTCACCCCACGCTGTCCCCATCCATGGAAACCCGGAGGGAGAGTCCCGCTTGGAGAAACCTGGATCTTTGCTAGAAAGAGAGGTAGGCTTGCAGAGAATGAATTGACTCGTGATTTGCAAACTTTGTTTGTTTCTTTCCTCTCTATGGCTTCTAAAACTCCCTGAATTTCTTCTTCCTAGCATATTTCATGCAACTGGGTTTGGAGGATTTTATTATGTGTGTGTGTGTGTGTGTGTGTGTGTGTGTGCGCGCGCGCGCACAGATTTGTCAAATACTGTATTTCTTTCCTGTTCTCAGTCCTGAGAAACCATATGATCACACAAGTGATTTGTTTTTCTTTTCCTAGTTTGTGCCATTCTTGGGCCATGAGGTAGGGAAATGGAGGGACTGTCTTTTTCACACCAAAATTGAGCTCTTGGAAAAAAAACATTTATTCCTCGCCTCCCCCATCCGTTCCTGCCCTCCCCCTCCCCCTTGGCTTGGGAATGAGAGGCAGAATGGAAAACTGTTGCAAAAATATTTTCCGCGTCTGTTCCCTTTCTCAAAAGCCCAAAAGAGAGATGGAAAAAAAAAAAAAAAAAAAGAACCAAGTAAGAAATCTTTAGCACGAAGGAGGGGCTGCCTGGGGGACCGGGAGAGGGGCACACTGGGGGAGGGGGGCTGAGAAAGGAGAGAACGCAAATTAAATTTCTTTGGATTTGCAGAGAAACCTCAGCAGTTTCTCTCTGCTGCTCGCAAAACATCCTCGGACTTTCACGTCTATAATTAGCTGTGGAAAAAGCTGGGAGTTCCCTCGTACCGCTGTTGTTTGAGTGAGTGTGAGCGTCCGGAACCAACTGTATGAGTGTCTCCGAGGGCACCGCCCCACGCATCGCTGGTCCCAGAGGGGAGGAAGGAGAAGGGGGTGAAGTTGAAAAGTTTTCGATTTCAAGCCTGAAGATGGTGGGGCTGGGGCGTGCTCGGTGGATGGGTATGGGCCACCGGCATGCTGGGGAGGGTCCCCGAGCGTCTTGGGTTGGTGCATTGGCTCGCTGAAGAGCTGGAAATTAAGGCTGGGATTGCCTTTCCTGCTCTTCCTTCACACACACACACTCACACTCACATACACTCACATACTTGGCTCACTCCTGGTAGCTGGGGCCGCTGGCATCACTCCCCGAGGCCAGGCCAGCCTCATGCACTCGTCCACCTCCCCGAGGGTGCCGTCGCTCTCCTTCTGGGTGTGGAGGGCGCAGGAGTGGCCTGCCGCGGCATGGGCGAGGAGTGGGCACTCTGCGGGCCGGAGGCACCTCCCTCCTGGGCATTCCTGCCGGACTTACAATAACTTGCAGACGCGATGCCGGCGCCCGCAGGCTGGGTAGGGGGAATGTCAACTGAAGAAACAGGCTCCACTGAGGCCCCTGGGGGGAGGGCAAAGGAAGGTGGGGAGGGAGAGGAAACAAAATCCCATTCTACTGAGCTACCTCCTCCTTTGGGTGGGGTGTCTGGCGGGGAGTCTTGAGATCCTCCCTCTCCTTCCTTGATCCCCTCCCCAGAGCAGCCCCTTCTCCCAGCTCTTGCCATTTGCAGGCCCTTCTGCTGCCCCCTCTGCCCTGGAAGGAAGGGAGGAGACCAGGGTCATTCCAGGCTGGGCCTGGCCTAGACGGAGGGGCTGGGTAGGGAAGGTTTTTGGAGGTGGAGGGCCGGAAGAGGCTGGGGAGCTTAGGGTGATGGCTTGGGGAGCAGGCTCTGGGGCTGGGAGGGACGGTGGCAGCTTGGTAAAGGGTGCTGCTCTGGGACGTGGGTCCTAGCCCTGAAGCGGACAGGTCTGTGGGAGCCAGGCTGGGGGGAGGAAACACCTGCCTTGTGCCCCAGCTAGTTTGGTTGGGGCAGTGGGAAAGGCTACAGCTACCGAGACTGGCAAAAGACTTGGGGGAGAGCTTACGTGGGGGCGGGGGGAGCAACAGGAATCAGTTTTCATTCTGAGGTGCTCTGATTGATCTGACTGCACCCCAAGGCAAGACAGCTTTTCCCTACTTATATTCTGATGGAGAAGGGCATGGGGCAGCAGAAGCCCCAAGACAAAATAAATGCCCTCCTTCAGTGGGGGGGAGGGGAATCCATTTGTTTGCTCTTCTCCGAAGCCCCGTCCTCCTGCCACCATCTTGCGGAGGTATAACCCCTAGATGCCCCGTCCTCCTGCCACCATCTTGCTGAGGTATAACCCCTAGATCGTGCGCCCCGCCCACCCGCGGCCTCCTATCGTGGGGGCCCATAAAGCCACCATTCCTGCAGCCAGCCCTCCGGACGAGGGGTAGATTCTGGTAGGCTTGGGGAGGGCTTCTCCACGAGGAGCAGGTCCCTGTTTAGCGCGCACCGCACCGGGGCGCCTCCTCCTGGGGCCTTGAGTCGGGGTGCGCCCGGAGGGGGAATCTGCGCCCCGAAGCCCCAGCCCTCCCCCAGGGGGCTCCTGGGCTGGAGCGACTGCAGCGCATCCACGGGCCCCCTCTGCTCTCCGAGGCCTCTGCGGCCCCGCCCAGCAGCCTCTCCCCTAGCTCAGCTCCACCCTCCCGTCGCGGCCTCAGTCTGAGAACTCCGAGAAGAATGGCTTAGAGCAGGGGAGCAGAGGCTTCCTGCCTCCCTGGCCGTGTCTGCGCCTCGAAGCCCCTTCCCTTACGTTTACCAGCTCCGTGTCTCAGGATTCAAGGTCAAATCGAAGTAGCGCGCCTCGTCCCCCAGCTCGCACTCCCGGTGCCTAGCACAGCGCCTGAGACACAGGAGCGCCTGGCCAGTGCTCTCTGAGAGTAGGAGGGGCAGTTTGGGGAAGCATGGACATCAGCCTCAGCCCTGCGGGTTCCTAACTTGCTCCCTGGCCTCAGTTTCCCTCTGTGGGAAGCCTGCTCCCCAGAGTGAGGTGGCGAGGGGTGGCTGCATCAGATTTGTCAGATTGCTGTGGTCTCTGTCAAACTGGGAGGACCCAGTTAGGGGTAGGAAGTAAAGCAGTTAGAATTTGCCCAAGGTATGGGCGCTGGAGGAAGTAAGGAGGTGCGTGGGGGATGGAGGTCCCTGGGCAAGGATATAGGGGGTTTTACTCGTCCCACTCCCGCTGACTGGAGGGTCCTGAAAGGAAGAGGTCCTGGGGCTGCTCAGCTGGCAGGACGCAGCTGCCACCTGTCAGCAATGCCAGCATTCCTCTGCCTTATTCAAGAATTTGGCTTTTCTCAGTAACCTCTGTGGGCCCTTTTCTCTTTTTTCAATGCTTCTGGCCTGGGACCCAACACCCAAAGACATGGGTCAGCCTTGCCCATCTAGCATAGAACATTCCAGACCTAAGCTTTGGAAGGAGGAAAGGGAGATGTTGATTCTTGGTCCTCAAGAGCCTAAGAAACTGTTCGGCTTAGAGTAGATTGCCCCAGGTGTGTGGTTTGACCTTGAAGGGGAGTGCCTCTCCCCGAGCCTAATTGTCCATGGGGGGGGGGATTCTGAATTCTGTGCCCCCAGGATGCCCCTCAGACAGAGCTCGCTCCCCAGCCTAGTTCCCTAGGCTGACCCCTGTCATCCCCAATTGGTATTTGGCAGGTAGGAGTGAGGGATGAGGAAGGCAAGGCCTCGCACTAGTCAAGCCGGATGACAGCCTCTCTCCACTCATTTCCCCTTTTCTGTAGGTCATAGGAATAGGGCTGGAGTCCAGAGGGCCTGTGCGGACTGTTCCATGCTTGGCTTCCTCTCCCAGCATCAGTCTTTGTCTCCTCTTTCCTCTTTTCTTTGTGTGAGCCATTCTCGTTCCACTGACTTATTTCCTCTGCGCATGTTAAAATAGAAATGACAGGGACCTTCTACTTCTGCCTCCACCTTCAGCCAGTCCTCTGTGTCCAGCCCACGTGAACTTGGGTTGAGGAAAACCAGGCAGGATCTAGGTAGAAGCAGAGCCCAGGGCTCCTGGTCAGGGAAGAGGCTGTTGGGAGACAGTCTGCATGTGGAGGGGCAGTGGAGAGGCCACGGGAGAGAAAAGGGGGTGAGAACATAGGCGTCAGGGGCAAGGGCCCCCCTCCACCTCCCTTCACTCCAGTTCGTCTCTGGCCGAGGTCTTCAGCCTCATCGCTTCTCTCTGCCCTAGTTTTCCAAGTTTCGTACACAAATCTCCGGGACAGTTCGGGGAAGATGAACTGGAAATGGAATAGCGAGGTCCACCTAGGTTGTAAAATCAATGCCCGAATGCAAACCAATGCAACCCCTATGGAAAGGGAGTTAGCAACATCTAACAAAACGACAGACACATTTTACCCAGCGTTCCTACTTCTAGGAATTTATCCAGAAGATGCTCATTCACAAAGATATATGCACAAGGTGATTCTTTAAGGCATATTTGTAATAGAAAATCACTGGAAACTACCCAAATGCCCATTCTTAAGAGACTGGTTGAATGAACGACAGTACAGCCGCACAGCAGAGTGCTAGGCAGCCAGAAAAGGAAAAAGAAAAAAAGAATGAGTAGGAGCCCTGTGAACTGATACAACATGATTTCTAGGATTTGTTGTTATTAAGTGAAAAAAGCAAGATGTAGAAGAGTGTGGATAGTATGTCCCCTTTGAGGTGAGAAAGCAGGAGAAATATGAATATTTTTTGCGAACACACACACAGAGAAAGGGTAAAGGAGAAATCCATTAACATGGTGCCTACAGGGGGTGGGTGGGAGCAGGGTGGAGGAGATAGGGATGGGAGTGAGACTTTTCTGGTTATACCTTTTTAGACAGTTTTAATTTTTGTACCATGTAAATATTTTACATATTCAAAAATTAAAGCCAACCACAACAGAAACAATAACTGACCAAATATCAATTTGACTACAAAGGAAAGAATTCATTCAAGTTTTTAATAATTTTTAACCTAATGCTCTGATTCTCTATCCTTAGTGGAATTAATATTCTAAGGAAAAAAAGGATTCTTGGACTTTACATTGTTGGCATGCTGTTGGTTGTGGTATTGGTGTCATAAATTGGAAACCGTTTTGTTTATTGTAGGATAGATCAATGAGTAACTATGTTGATATTTCTGGAAATTAGGGTCTCGCTATGGAAAAAGAGATATAAGTATGAAATGGG